TTATTTAGGTATTACACAGTTGGTGCCAGAAATAATAATCATTGCGCACGATCGAGAATAATCACGGCGGCTGCTGTGGTAGCGCGGCTATGGCGACACCGCGTTAGGAGACTAAATACGTTTCAGAGCCATGGAAGCTGAGCTCTAGCTGGGCAGTCGAGAAATCTCGATAGAATCACTGTACATCAAAGTGTGATGAGAATACACATTTTGAGCAAGAAATATGAAATATGATCAAACTAAGTTGGACCATATAATTGTCTAACTTGTGTAAGTTGATATCAATTCGTCGGGTTTTGACTAGACTTTCAGTACTATAATGATTTATAAAGATTATTTTTGAAGCCAGCGAAGCCTACTGTGGAGCACTGTCCACCAACTACAGTGTCAGGCATCTATTGTATATCACTGCATGGTTTGCACGCAAAAGAAGATACCATTAAGGTAGTTCTGTATCTACTGGTCCGGTTCGTGGTCTACTTCTAATCAACAATCTGCAGAAAATCGTTTACACATCGTGAAAGAATAATAAAATATATTTCACAAAATTACAACAAAACCCACAAAGTTATTTCATTACGTAACCACATCTACACTTCCGCATTTTTCCAACATTACAAGTGTAATAAAATTTTATAACTTTTCCTTTACCGAAAATGTCAAAACATTGGTTATCTACGCAGAAGAACCGTGGAGTTTAAGTTCACTCGAAATCTACTTAACATGTTCCGGTAATTATTATTTTATGATTTTTTTATTTTTGATTACCCAAGCTGTTTACTTTTTCTTTTACTGTAGTACAGTAAAATGATCGTTTCGCTTGTTGTCATTATATTATGAAAGAAAAGCATAAATTAGAGAGCAAAAAATTTGATAGAGCGGAAGTGCAAAACTTTTATGTCATGTATCATAAATCAGAATGCATTTTTGTGATTGAAAGTATAAACTTCAGATAAGCTGAGTGATATACCTCTGAGCTGCGGTGAACTTGAACCAAAGAAGATCGCAATGCTTTTCATAATGGCACAAATTTACGGTTGGTGTGGACTCTTATAAATATACTGGAGCAAACAGAATGAACTTTAGTGCTGTTCTGCACAAGCTCTCCAAACTGAAACCAAAAATTGGCCCTGCGCTCCAACCGATGTTAAAGGGAGTACCATATATACATGTATGCCCTTTAAGGTCGATCAAAATTACAAATCCTAGTATCAGAAAGAAAATAAGCATCAAGAAAAACTAAACTGGTACAGAAAAGACATAATTATACTGTTTTACAAGCCAAGAAGAAAAAAGCCCTCCATCGACTCAATCACGTTGAGAAGCCAAAGAAAAAGTTAGAGATTCACACCACAAAGCTGAAATTTAAATGAAAGGAACTGGCTGATCTCTAACGCAAAAACTTACAAACCAGGTACAAAAAGCAGCTAATATATAACCTATCCAATTGGACTACCTACTTAAAAACTGGTATGTACAAATTTCTTAAAAATCTGTAATAAAATATTTTACACGGATATTTCAATAAATGCGAAGCCCTAACATTCCAATGAGCATGCCAATAATCCACGATTGTCCCGTCTTGCTGCAATTATCTCTAATTACATTTGTTGTGCATTTGCTTGTAAATATTTGAGTTGATCCTGTCGCAAAACATAAATACTTCCTTTGATCCTGCGACACCACAAACAACCCCCAATGATTGCCAATAGAAAAATGCGAGAAGCATACGAATACTTCTGGCAGCATTACTTTACAGTGTGGTACACCACGACTGACGACAGCTTCCTGCCACTTTCTTCATCCAATCTTCGTATATTTCTCTATATGCAATAATTGAATGCGTAAGATCCTTTACAAAGCGTTATGCTTTTGAAGTTTTATTAGTTGTGTAGCCGAAGCAAAGAAACCGAAAATTGATTACAATAAATTGCGAAAAGATCGTGTTGCAGCAGTGAAGGCTGAAAGGTATTAAGTTTGTTATGTAATTATTTTGAGTGCGAGAAACGCCGACAAGGATAATGAGTTTATTCTTACATAATGGCAGCGAACTTTAGCTGTTTCGCTTCGAAGAATGCTAAATTAGTTTTATAAATAATTTTGCATGATTTTTTTATAACACAATCATTTCAGGTTGAGGGACTGCTAACAGTACCTTCTTGGAAGACAATGCTTACGGTTGAAATTGGATAGTCAAAGTGTTGAAGAATTGTGTATTTCTAGATGTTAGCGAGCTATACGAGTCACTTATAGCTTACTCTTCGAAATTAAAGCGATTCAATTACACATTTAGGCATTTCCGCTTTATTCATACATTTGAACTGCCACAACTGATCTGCGTAATCCTTTTCATACTTCAAATGTAATCGAATTTACTACCCGCTAACATTAGTTTTATCGTTCTTTGTTGTTTTCAAATTAAATTCACAGCAGTTTATAGGTGCGCTCACTTGCCACAATAAATCAAGCAATTATAAATATACAAACGAAGGAAGATCCTTTCTGATCCTTCGTGCAGACAGCTTTTTTCTTGGCTGCTCACTGGTGTTGATGTGCCAATGCAGCAGGGGAGCTGCTAGTTGTTGTGTCTACAGCACATAAATATTTATATAAACAGTCTCGGCAACAAATTGACAGCCAAATCGTTGGTGTAATTGTGCGCAGGATAACTCGAACTTGGATTGATGGGCAATAGGCTGTGTTGTAATATGAGTCCCGCTGTGAATGCTTCGGAATTTGGTGAGGATTCCGATAAAAATAATGTAGTTCAATGTAGCATGTGCCAACGTTGCTAACTAGCAAATTAATTTTTTTTTTTGTGTTTTAGGAATATATATAAAATTTTTATACAAGATCAAAAGATTACAACCAAGGCTTCTAAAATTCATAAGAAAAAAATGTGTGCCTTAAAATATTCAAACTTTAACCGTTTATGTCTTTTAAGCGGTTGGGTTTACGAAAAAATCCTAAGAGACCCTTTTCTAGAGCAATCAAATTCCTAGAAAAGCTATGAAATGGAGGACCTTCTCGTTACAATTAAGGGCTCATATACATAAATGTTCGATTTTTTTTGGCCCACCCTAATATATAATAAGCTCAGCAAGTTAATTTAAAGAGTCATTCTCCGCAATAACGCGATTAAATTAAATTTTATGTGATGGGTTTCAAAGAGGCTGCTATCTTTGACAAGTCGTCTGCTTTTTCGTTTCCACAAATAATCCTGTGACCGGAAACCCAAATTATGGACAATTCGAGTTGGCCTGCCAGTAAGCCTAAAACAATCCTGCAATTATTTATGCAATGGAATTAAGCCTTGGCGACGACTAGGTCAGCAATGCAGACTGGCTATTCGTGTATATGGTTGCTTATTGTATTTTCCCGTAGTTTTTCAAAAAAATTCTACAGGCCCTCTCTATTCCTAGTACTTCCGCTTGGAAGATGCTGGCTGAGTTTGGTGGACGGATAGAAAGAGAGGTGTCAAGATCATTAGAGTATACTCCTGCCACTACTCCGCAGTCCAATTTGGTCCCGTCGGTATAGATAAATGTAGTATCCTAGTCCCATACTAAACCTCTTCTCCATCCACGTCTAGAGGGTAACCTTACCCGAATCGACTATTAAAAACTAACCTTGGGAGGATATAGTCTGATTTGCCCAGGCTTAGCTGGTTCAGGATAGCGCAATGACCACATTCTTTCCGGTTCCAAGAACATTAGAACATTAAATATCTTATCAAAAATATAAAAGCCCTCGCAACCAGTTTCATTTTTACATATGCAAAAATTAGGTAGGATTTCTTTAGAGTTCATTATAGCTCCCCACAGATACCAGCTTAAGTAACCATATAAATCCATATTTTATTATTATTTCCTTAAAAATATAAGAATTGCATTCTATTGTTTCTAAATAATTACTTAAAAATCCTAATACTAAAAATTGCAACTAAGTAAACAAGTTTGAGGAAGAAGAAAGGCTAATCCTCCAACTGGATAAGGGATACACGTTTTAAAGACGAAAGGGATCAACAAGTAAAAATTAGTTTTAGGTTGCATAGTTTTACGCGCACTTAAGATATATACATTATGTACATGTGGATTCATGTTGCTAATATCGATGCTTCGAGATAGTCCCGAATGTTAGCAAATACTGAAAAGGCGAAAATTAAATTTTCTATTAGTTTTTTGGTTATAAGATGGGAGCTTGGTTAATCATGTACATATTATATAGGTATAATTCAAAAGAAACCACTAAAACAATGTAAAATATAATACAAAAGTATTTTTAACATTTTCCATAAAAACAATCAAAATTAAATCGGGATCCCGAAATCCTAAAATCCCTAAATGATTTGTGCAACCAATATTTAGCAAAAAACAACAAAGTAAAAATATGTATAAAGCAATTTTCACTAAAATAAAATAAAATCATATCGGGATTTCGTAATCCCGAAATGAGTTTGTGCAACCAAAATGTCCGTCTCTCACATACATTTATGAGCGCATTAATTTTTGCATTGTCATTTGTACGGTATTTGTAGGCATTGGCATTAAATTTCTTTCGCTGGAAATACAAATTCGGCATCATTGAAGCATAAATCCTCAAACAAAAAATTCAAAAATACAATACAAAACAAATCTAAGAGAAAAAGGATAAAAGTATGCAAGGATCTATAGAAAGCGAAGTGCATTCGGAATAAGGAAGGGAAGAAGTGGCAGATTTGTGGAAATACACTTCAAAGCCGATGATGTATGGTTGGCGCGGTCAACCAAAAACAAAATACGACGAGCGGCATTGATGTCGCAAAGCGATTTTTTGGCAGCGTTGAATTGTGGTGTAATGTTGCAATTGTTGTAGTTAACCGGAATTTTGGTGTGGGTCATGATTTTGTTGCAGCTCTTGTGTTGTCTTTAAAATCGGTAGGCAGATAAAGACTTTCCATTAACGAATGAAGTGCGTAACCAATCGGGAAGAATTTAGCTAACTTAAAGATAAACTGAATATTTATTTTTAGCGCGAAATATATTATTTCTTAATATATAGAAATAACTTGTATATTAAAAACTCGCTTAATTCAGGGTTTCTCCCATATTTTTCTACAGTCCTAGTACAAGAAAATGGGATTTTCCGAAGACCTTACGCCTTCCCAACATAAATTTGTATCGAGACTGATCTTTTTATAAAATATAGGTTTTGGAGTCTGAGCCGCTGTATTTGAATTCGCAAATATATACTTGTATATATATATATAAGAGCCAAATCTGGATTCATTACGGATAAATACGTTATAGTGTTTTGATTGTCGAAATTGCAGATACTAATAAAAGTTTTTACCAGAAAATCCAGAAAATACGCACAACACGATGACTTCAAGTGTATAAAAGCTCTCATTTCATTTCGCTCAAACAGCATTTCTGACAAGCTGTTTTTGAACTTCTCTCGGCTTCAATTGTTATGACAGCCGGTTTCTTTGCTTTTAAATGTTGTGAAATTGTTGCTTGAGTAAACCCCAAAGAATCCGCGCTCTTTTCTTGTATTTGGCAATATTCAACGGGAAATTTATCTAGTTCCTCGTCTTCCAACATTTCTGGCCGTCCATCTTGAAACGCTTGACGGCAGCAAAAAACAATGCAAGCACTTGCAAACATTTACAGCAGTACAGCAAATCAATCCTGTGTACAAGTATTAATTTGAAAATATTATAATTTGAAAAATTATGCTGTCATTGAGTGGCAAGAAAAACACAAAAGCCACTACCAGAAGTGATTCGATTGTATTTGTAGAACAATTTTTTCTTAAGTAATTTTAAACTAATCATCGCCATATGTTGCACAGAACATACAAGTACATGTAAGAAACAACTAAAAACATGCAACCCAAATCGAGCAACAAAAAACCGACCTCCTGTTGTGTTTGTATTGGGGCAGTGGCGGTGTTTAATTAACGCGCCTGCGCGTCCCAAATGGACTGTATGGCAGAAGAAGGCAAGGCAGTAGAATACTTGAGAACATACATGTACATGATGTTTTATATGCTGTTACAACCCAACAGATAATATTTGTTATAAGCCGGTATATTTTTGTCTAGATCGACTTTTCCGACTTACGTAGCTGAAATTTAAGTTACCGACTAGTGTTTTTAAAATTACTGGAATTTTAATATTAGAGAGCATTTTTTTTCACCCTAGTCAAATTTTGGCATAGTCATAAACATACATATTTTAGACTACTTCATTGTTGATCACGGTAATCTAGTTCTAAACTCATATTTTTCTGACTAGTTATTTTTCCGTCCGAAAATATTATATTATTATAAACCGGCTCTTTTTGAACTAGTTGATATTCTGTCTTGGAAATTTAGTTTTAAATCCTATTTTTCGGACTAGCTACGCTTTTCGCCCATTTCATTTTAGCTATTGTCCATAAATTCTAGTTTTAAAAATATATGTTTAAAATCTGTTTGTTTTCCGTGCTGAGATTCTAATACCAGTAAGCATTTTCTAAGCTAAGCTAAGTTAGACTCCATGTTTTATTTATAAACTTACACTTTTAAGACTACTTCATTAGTGGTCTCGACAATTTACAAGTAGTTGTAAACTAGTTGTAAACAAGGTCATTTACAGTCAACTTATTTGTTTTCCAATCGGAATTTCAGATATCAAGATATCATATTTTTAAAATCAGTTCAATGTTAGCTTCAAAATTCTAGTTGTAAACAAGTTTTTTCAAACTAGATCGTTTTCAATACGAAACTTGTAATTCCAGACTTACATTTTTGAACTACAGTCCCAAAAGTCTATTTTTAAATTATCATTTTTCGAACTAGCACATTTTCTTACAATGATTTCTAGTTACAAACTAGTACCTTTCAGACCAGTTTGAGTATTTTTATGTAGGGATGTCGTACGAGTATATGGTATACCAAAACACCATATATTCTGTGCACTATCAAATTTCATAGCCGCTAGTGGTGGCGTTTTAGTGGTGTTGTTGTTTGCGTTTGCTCAGCTCTCTTGGGGTCTGAAACAAGTCCGACTTGCTGTAGCATCCCTCAATGGCAGGTTTTATTATGTTTAATTGTCAAGTGCAGTTCCTAACGCTGCATAAAATCATTTATCATATCATTCAAGCGTAGAGTTTTTCAATTCTTTTCCCACTTTTTTTTTGTTTTTGAAATGTATGACTTACATGCAATGAAACGAAATGCATATTAATTTTTATATGTGATATTCTTTATTTATTTTAGAAATACATTTTTTTCCTTACTCTCTGCTCGCTTGAAATGTGATCCATGGCTCTTTTGCTCAACAACCGAGCGTGTTGCTTAAGTGCCCTGCGTGCGTATGCGTAAATGGTTTTCGATTTCCTCGTATTGCTGTGCTTTGTGCGCGCTGAAATTGTCTTCAACACCATAAAAAATTTCGAGATTTTTCAATAATTTACTAATTCATTGTTTTTGCTGTCGTTGATTTGCCTGTCAGTGGAAGATAATCTATTTTAATTTGGCATTTGAGTCCTTTCTACCCGAAAATTTAAGTGTTCGTTTTCGTCCTTTTTAGAGATTAGATAAATGGCTTGTTAGTTGTCGTATAGGATATAGACATCGGTATATAATGAGTATGTAAATTGAGCTGATCGCATTGCGCTGCGTTTACTTAACGAATCGTCACCATTTTATGGTTGAGCAAATTTGGTTGGCTACTAAATAACAGAGGGAAGTTTTATGCCTTATGTATAACCAGCTCATTTCAATATTTTGCTAAAAATGTTTAAACTCCACGCAGACACTGGGAAATAAATGATTTGAAGAATATGATTTTTCCAATATTATTTTGATGATAGATTTTTTTGTGTATTGCATGAGTATTTTTAAACAACAAAATGATCCATAAACTTGAGATTTTTGCACAACGTCAATATATTAGAAAGTGGAAGAACCCTCGAATGACGTTAATGCTCTAAGGACAAAGTCAAACCTCCATTTTTTTTTGCGTTGAAACTACTACTTTTATACATATTTGAGTCATTCGGCAACTTTTCTAAACAGATCAACAAAATGGGCTCTTTTGTAGGTCCGTTAAAAACAAATAAAGATAATCGTTTCTCTGCAAAAAAAAACTCGAATAAGTTCGAAAATCTAAACCAAAAAATTCGATGCTAACTCAGCACGCATTATCAATATGCTTATATTAAAGTAACACAATTTGACTCCTTATTATTGAGCTTCGCTACTATAAACTTAATAAAACAGTTTTATATACACTTATAAATATAACTGCATGCATTGTACATGGTTATACATATGTATGTGTAATAATTAATAAGCCTCCAAATGTTTACTTTACATACATGTTATCTGCCCTCCAAGTATGCCACATAGTAAGTTTGTCACTCAATTCGTGCGTGAATGATATGCAACATCTGTTGTCAAGCGTAAAACATATTTCATTCGAGTGCAACGTCGACGCCTCTTTGCGTTCACAGCACTTTGCTTAGATGACACACTTGCAACAAGAATATGCGCTGACTTCAAGTGTTCGAAGACATGTGGAAAGACATGGGTACATATAGTATTGTGTGTGCCACATAACAATGTAAAGTGCCTATTAAAAATGTCAATTGAAGTCCATATATGTACTTACATATTTACATGCATATAAAACAGATTTAATTACTTGAAGAAAAAAGTCGTAAAGTCAGTTACATACGTATTATACATACATAGATGCTATACATAAATGCTTTCATTTTAAAATTATTCGTTTACAGATGACCATCAGTGAATTGTTGATTCAAAACACACAAGCACTAAAATTCCAACTGTTAATCTATAAAGGTCACTTCGAGTCATGCGATTTCTAGCTTCCACACGTCGCAGAAAGCATCGACTTTTAAAGGTAATGTTCCAGCAAAAGTAATTTTCCAGCGTCTCATCATCCTCCGTGCACGCTCTGCATTCTACCGGCTTCACTTTACAAATTTCTGAAACTGAGATCTTAGAGGACGATTCTGTGATGGTCCCTAAAACGTTGCTCCACCGTCAACACTGGGTGAAAGTACTTCTGTGGTATGCCCTATGTTGCTAGTGTCTATTTTTGCGGTGTTGGAACGCAACTGACCAAGTAGCTCGCACAGATCTATATACGATTCTGAGTCATGAACGGTGTTACAACATGGGTTAGGGCATGTACATATACTTTAAAAACATAAAAGAAAGTTGGCATGCACTTGACAGTATTCCTCACACAATTTTATCACGCTGCACACACCATTAATTTGCCCATTTGCGCTCGAATTATGGTGCACATAAATTGTATGCAGTGAGAAAGATAAGGATTAGAACCACCAGCTCGTCAACTCAACACACACACAAAAACAAAGAGAAAATTTATTGTAATGACGCGCCCAAAAGATTTTTGAAAACGTATGGTGAAGGGATTAAATTACCGAAAATCGAAACACAACAAAGCGATAGGGTAAACACCAAGTATTCGAATACTTGTACTTTACACAAATGTGACTCCCGCGAGATTAAATACCCCTCAAATTTTACTGATGTGACAACTTGTAGGGGGTATCCACAGCTTGCAGGCATAAACGCCCTCAGCAAAACATGCAGAGTGTTAAAAGGTATGTGTTGTTGTGCTACTTACATAGTTTTGGGGCATGAGTTAAATGTGTGGTTTCCTTGAGGATCTGAGGGTGTTTCGAAGAACTTGTAATGCTGCTGCGGCACTTGTTTCTCTTCGTTACGTTTGAACGACAAACCTGATTAAAGATTTCAAAAACTAAAGAAGGGGAACTTTCATTAGTTGAATGCACTTAAATATTTCGGTTGATTAGAAATTGATTTTCTCACATAAATTATGTAGATTTACGCGCGGGGGATACGAATATTTGATTAGTCCGTTAAAAATTTGTACCCCATGCTATGTAGTCTCTCCTCTTTATTTTGGAATTAACGAACAAGTTGAAACAAAATAGATTTAAACTCACTTTACATAATCACTGCAGCATTTCGAAAGTACTTAAATAATATTATATTTGTAACGGAATTCTATCAAATACACGAACCTTTTCATGGTTTCCCACCAGCATCAATCAGTAACTTGTCTGACTCCGAGTAAAGTGAAGATAGCAATTAATGTACCCGGAGGTTAACAGCTCAAGCGCGTATTAGAGTATTCTCAAAATTGGTTTTTGGTTTTGGAGGGATGCTAGTTGTATTAACACAGAATTTGGTGTCGTCTACCTGCCTCTTAAAGCGCATTACTCAACATTTGCTTGCTTGCTCGCATAGGAAATCCCCACACTTGTAGTGTCTCTAGCGCTGCGTTAGTTTCTTGGGGGTTGTTGCTAACCCCTTACCTAATTACCAAAATTCCCTAGCGATTTAGTTTACTTTTGAAAAATACTTTTAACTACACTTTTGTGTGTGAGAAAGTTGTGTGGGAATATTTTTTTCGAATTGAAATTTTAAAATCCGAATAATTGAGTGTTGGAGATTTCTAATTGGTCGCCTTTATTGATCGATCGCTCAAGCGTAGTCCTCTTGTGTAATATGGTTTTGATCCCCAGCAGAGGCATGGGAAAATTAGAAATGAAAAGTTGGAAAAATTGAGAAAAAAGCAAGAATAACGTTAATAGCAGAATACCCTTCACAAGTCAAAAAGTTTTCAGTTTGTATATCAGCTATATGCTATAGTGGTCCGATTTCAGCGACTGTAGCGTTGCCTAG